GTAAGGTGTCCCTGTCCTGGCTCACATTATGTCTTGGCCATATTGATGCACTCATGTTAATTTATAATGGTCTCTTTGTTCATGAGCTCTTTAAAGATGGGCACCCTGGCTTATACCTGTTTGCACATCCAAGCCTTCAGCAGATACTGTTTGTTTCAGAGATGTCTGCAATAAAGAAGTAAAGATGATCACAAAGTGGCAGTGAATCCTCTTGAGTTAAGAGAAAGCGGAAGGAGCATCATAAAACATAAAAAGGACCAGATGAGGATAAATGCTTTCCATCAGCTAACTCACTTGATTCCCATAACAATTTGAGGGGGCATTATTTCTTCTATTTTATGTACAAGAAATGAAAAGTTACATTTTAAAAGCTCATAAACTAATAGCTATCAGAATCATAATTAGCACTTAAGTGGCTGAAATCTAGCCTAGTTGTCATTCCGCTACACTAACCGTCTCCCCTCTCTTCCTTCCTCATTTTCTCTTTGTGAACAATGAACTCTTACAACACTGGGATTTTCTCTTTTCATTTCTCAGTCATTTGGACATCTCCTCTTCCCATTGTTATTATTTTACCTAAATGTACTCCTTAGCCAGTTTTGTATCTTTCATTTACTTCTTTATCTGTTAAATTAAAGGGTTGTAGCAGAGTCTGTAAAATCCCTTCTAGCACCAACATTATGAAATTACACAAAGTAAATTGAACCAAGTGAAATTAGCACGTATGATAAACCCAGCACAGGGTGTGTTTTATTCAGAAGTGTTTTCTGATTTCCAGTGGGCAGTGTCCCTGGAGGAGAGGGGCTGGGCTTAATACCCTTTAGGGTCTGCATGGCTCCTCCTTCCCTTTTGGGGTCTCCTTAATTCTCCCTTTATTTCCATTGGTTGCTCTCGCTCCCCATTAGTCCCTTCCCTCTTTGGAGTTGCATTTCAGCTCCCCATCCTTGGTATCCATCTCCTCCTTACTTGCTTGCCAGTAGACTCTTAGAAGCCTGTTTCCTCAAATCCAGAACAGGTTGCATGGCTGGGAAGAAGCTGAAGGTATTAATAGCTGTGGGTAATGGCGAGGGTGGTCTGAAACTAGATGAAACACTTGAATTCTAAGAGATGAAGCTAACCATAGATATTTTGAAATTATTATAGATCCTGTGTAAATATTTTCTTTTCTGATAGAGCAATTTCTGGGCCCCCTCCATCATCCGAAGTGTTCTGAGCCAGCTCCCTGGGCACAGTAGCTCCATGGGTGGTTCCCAACCACCCTCATCTAAACCTCTTGGTTGCGCGTTACAGCTGAAGTTGCCTGAGACTCACCAGACCTACTAAATCAGAATTTCTGGGGGATGGCAGGCAATCTGAATTTCAAATATGCTTCCCTGGTGATTTTTCAGTTCACTGAGTTGTGAGGAACTCTGCCTTTGTGTTATTTATTCTCAAAAAGTTTCATGCATTATTATCATTTTTCTTTAACTCGATTATAAAGAATTTTATTTATAGCTATTTTCAACTTGCACAAATACTAGATGTTTGACTGAGGAATTCAGTCACATATTCAGTAATTACTCTAGTATCTCTTATATGCAAGCCACAGATTTGTATTTTCTGTTCCTGAAAAAAGATAAGAAAAGGTAAATTCCCTAAGCTTCCCTACCCACTTCTTTCACACAGGGCTTTACTCAGCCAACACAAGGGGTACAGCAGAAGGATTGTCTTGCCATTTTCCCACATTTCTATTGTTTAAAGAGAAATTGCATTTATATACTCTTGCACAAACTTCGGAAGAAAATATTTTCTTCTTTACTCTTATTTCGGGATGCAGTTTCCTGGATATAAACAATATCTAAGTGACTCATTTCTACATATTATATATACTGCATGTATATATATAGCTGAACAAATACTCCTCATCATGATTTTCTGTCAAAATCTTTCTTTCCTAAAGTGACACCAATGCAATTTTCACTATTTCCTGGTAATTGTAGGGCAATTCTGACTTTGAACCAACAGTAGGCCAGGACCGCAATCCTATCACTTTCTCCAAATGCTTTACAGTGATCTTGCGATGGTCAGACTAAATCTTACCAGACCCTGCCCTTACCAGTGTATGGACTGCAAGTAGATGCTGGTTGCAGGTGTGATAGTGGCTATCTACAACTCCTGGTGGGTGGCCTGTCTTCACTGTCTCTTAAACTAGATTTTGAGGATGTGAAGGAGGACCACAGTGCCTGCTCTATGGAAATATAACCCTCTTAGGTCAAGATCTCCTGCTAAGTGTGGGTTTCCCTACCTAACAAAGGAACAGGACCAAATTGTCCTCTTGGTTACCCCATGAAGAAGACTTTCTTGAATAAACAACCCCTCAGCTGAAAAACTCAGAAGTTATAAACACCTGTTTTTCAAAAAATTTGAGCTAAATAGTTAGTATTTGTGCTGCAAATAATATCTATTTAGCTCAAATTTTGTCACAACTTACAAAATGCTTTACAGCTATCATTTTAAGTGATAAAGTCATCAAACAGTTCAATGTGGCCTTATTATCTTTCTTAAAGAAGAAATCTGAGTTTTCATCGGCCCCACCAGGGATACCAGGAGAAATGAGCTGCTTTATGTGTCTGTAAGATTACCAGGTAGCACTTGATCTATTCTGTTCTTATGGCACTTATGGTGGATCTTGCATATATTTGTTTACATGCCTTATCTCACCTACAGGATTCTACATTCTTATGAGGGCAAGATCTCTATCAGGCTTCTTTGAATTATCCCCAGTTACCATCATCCCCAGTTACTCTACACCTGGCAGGCCCCAAATTGGTTTTGTTAAATGAAGGAAGCAATGAAAACTGAATGAATATCACACCCATTTTGAGTTAATACTGTAGATTTTATTTGGCTTATATGAAGAATATCCCCCAAAGGAAGGAGGCTATGCTGGGCACTAGATTTCTATAACTCAGAACCTCCTACCTCCAACAGCATGTAGAGACCAGGAGGCTTGCGGTTCATAATTAACAAAAGTCTAGTGAATTCTTTCTGAAAAACTTGTTTTTGAAGTCCCTCCTGGTTTATCTTTACTGCCTCATAAACTAACTCTTAAAAAAATGAAGCTAGCAAGAAGCCAGAGCTTGCTTATCATTTGTCCTCTCCTCTTGGTTGATACCACCTAGGAACTTGGCTGTTTTTTTCCATTCTCTTCCCAAGTGTGATGATCATGTAAAAGAATAATAGGAATGCACAGGGAATGAAATGTAAAAATAAGAAAAATGCACACAAAGCACAAGTTCATTTCTTCCCTGGTATTTTTTTGGTATTTGCTTGGAGTAGGTACTATAAATAGATGTGTTTGTGTGCAAATTGAAAAAAATAGAAGAACAAGGTCAGTGCAAACACTATTGGTACATATAGGCGAATATGAAACGCAATTTCAAATGTTTTCTTTCTTTTTTTAAAAAACAGAGAGAGAGAGAGAGAGAGAGAATTTTTTTATTATTATTATTATTTTTTTAGTTTTCGGCCTACTCAACATCTTAGTTTGTATGTGGTGCTGAGGATCGAACCCTGGCCGCAGGCATGCCAGGCGAGCGCGCTACCGCTTGAGCCACATCCCCAGCCCCCAAATGTTTTCTTAATATTAAAAATGATGCTACAGGGTTTGATGGTGGCTCAGCTGTAGAGCGCTCCCCTAGCACGTGTGAGGCCCTGGGGTCGATCCTCAGCACCACATAAAAAGAAAAATAAATGAAGGTATTGTGTCCAACTACAACTAAAAAATAAATATTAAAAAAAATGATGCTACAATGATCAAATTATATTGACATATTGTTATCTATATAACAACGAATTCCACAATTATGTCTAATTATAATGCACTAAAAAAAGAAAGAAAGAAAGATGTTAAGAAAATTCTGTAAACATATCTTTGGATATAGGTCCAAAAAAATTAGCAACGTCAGCAAACTGAGATGGGGTCATTTGAGGAGCATATGGAAGACTTAAAAAGAAAAAATTGCCCTAACTAGGGACCCAGTTTGCCTAGGGGTGGGGGGCGTGACTCACAATTTCGGATAATCTGAATAAAGGGCACTGTGTTTGGGCAAGGCTTCATCGTAGCTTAGTAGCTTTCTCTCCCAGCTGCAGGGTTTGCTCCCGAAGCTGCGCAGGGAGCGCCGCACCGGGCCAGGCGGCTGCGGGCTGGGAGGGTGCGCTGGGCAGCTGCTGATTGACGGGGCGAGCGGTCAGGTGACCCGGCGCCACGTTCCCGGAGTGGGGCCCGAGGTGGCCGCCGAGGCCCGGTTAGGGCCGAACCCGGAGCCGAAAGGCAGGTCTCCGGGAACAAAGTTGCAGGGCCAGCGGCAGGACGGGAGAGCCGAGCGGGAGCGCTGGAGCCGCGAGGGCCGGAGGCCCAGACCTGCTGGGCCTCCTCCTGGGGAGAGCGAACCCCCGGGTGCCCGGACGCGAGCCCCTTTCCAGGGGCAGCGGCGCGCAGCCGATCGCTCCCGTGCCCCACCCTCTCTCTTCTGCCTTCAGCGCTCCATTCCAACAAAGGGGCAGGCCCGCGGCCGGGAGGAGGAGGAAAACGAGGAGGAGGAGGAGGAGGAGCCGCCGGAGGAGCGAGCCGCTCTCGCGCACAAAGTTGTGGAGTCGCCTTTCCTCGGAGGAGAGGAACAGCCAGCGGTAGCCGCCGCGGGCTTTCTCCCGCCGAAGGGCGAGGAGGAGTCTCTGGTTCCCGAAGCCGATTGGGGAGCTGGGGGGAGCCGTGCCCCCCTTCTTTTGAGTCATCTCTGCAGACGGAAAACTCTTTAGTGTTGGGCAAACTTGGTGCCTGCGCGCCTGTCCCAGGTTTGCGCTTGAACTGTTTTGTTTTTGTTTTTGGCGGAACTACCCGGGAGGAAGATTGCACAAGTCAGGGGCTTTTCCAAATCGGGTGTCATTTTTAAATTTTTTTTTCTCCTTTCCAATCTTGTCTGATCCTCCACATTTCATTAAAAAAAAAATCACCAAACAAAACAGCTCGCACTACCAAATTCACCCTCGTGCACATCCCCCCGTTTACTACGACCCAAACCCTCCTAGAGGAGCCCGTGGGCCGCTCCGGACGCGGCGGCGGCGGCGGCGGCGGCGGGGAGGCGCGGTGGCCCGCGGGCGAGCAGGTAAGCCCATGCATTATTGAAGTCTGGGACTGGGTAATAGGACCACAGCCTGCGAGGGAGTGGGGCGGGAGGTGGGAGGAGGTTGGACTTTTCTCCAGCTCTTTTGCCCGGGATGGGTGTCTCGAGCTCCTCCTCAGTCCCAAAGTCGGAGAAGTAGTCAACTTTTGGGTGCACTTTCCTGGGAACCTCAGTTCAGCTTCTCTGGGCCGGGGAGAGAATGCCAGAAGCTTGAGGAGCTCGGGCGAGAAGGTCGTTGGAATCCGGACTAGCTGTGAAGGATTCAAACCCCTCCGATCGGCTCTGTGCTGCCGCCTTGTTCCCCCAATCCTCCCCTCTGCTGGGGGAAGAGGGTCGCGTGTCCGTGCTTCGCGCGGAGAAGGGCGCTGGGCCAGTGATCTCCAAGAGGACGTGGCCTCCTAGGAGAGCCTGTCACACATACACACCCGGTCCCCGGGAAGGCGGGGTCCCGGCAGTGTCTGCTAGGAGAGGGTGGAGAGAGTGTGGTTTTGCAGTCAGTGGGCTGGGGAGCACTTCCTAGCCCGCCGCCTGACAGGGGACGTGCTCGACCTCTGGGTGTTTGCTGCTCCCGAGGGTGGGGCCCTGGAAAGTGTGGCGTTCCCTGCCAGCAGCTCCGGAGAGGTTAAGGGACGGGGGTGCCCTATTGGTGGCCTGTCCCGCACAGTTGCCTCGCTTTCCGGACTCTTGGCATCCCTGGCTGCAACTGACAAGGTAATTCATTCCCTCTTTGGTCCGGGGTCCGAAGCTCTGGTTGCCCAAGGCCACTTACAAAACTCACAAAGCTCTAATTGTAGGCTGTGCAACTTTTGGAAGGCCTGTTGATAAAAGATCAAGCCTCAAATTCCGAAAAGGACTCATTTCAGGGGGATGTCAAGGGAGGGAGAAAACGTGTTCGATCTCCTAGAGCAGGGGGGCCGGCACTTTTTTTTTTTTTTCCATATTGACTTGGAGAGCCTTGGGTGTAACTCCACGGTCCCGAATCCTAGGGTGTTCCTCTCTCCCAGACAGGGCGGCCTCTTTACCAGTTTTCAGGTCACCTGGGTCACCAGGGCCTCGCGGGTCAGTACGCTTGGGAGGGCCAGTGCACCGGTAGCGGCTGCCAGAGCGCACCGAGTTTAAGATGAGGTTGAATCGCCGGGTCCAGGCGGCTGCAGTCCCATGCATATTTTTTTGGAACTTGCAGCGGTCTCTGTCACCTCTGGGCTGGCTGCGCATGGGATGGTTGCTGATGTGCGCTGGGGACGCAGGCTTCGGATAGCGCAGGGTCAGGCGAGAGCTGGAATGTGAAGCTCTTGGGTACTTAAGGCGTCAAGGGCCAGGGTTTATGTGGGGCCATTCACCGGCCCTTTACCCGCATTTATGGGACTGATGAGACAGTTCTTGAACTCTACTTTGGGTGTTTACCTCAAATTTATTGCTCCTGTAAACAGTATTAATCACCGTTGTGTTAACCTTCCCTGGAGCGCTTCCGAGTGTGAATGGCAGTTCTTGGCACTGAGAGATTTCTTTTACTATGCTTCAAGCTGAGCGGCAAACTTGTGTTCACTTGGCTTCGCTTTTCCACGCTTTCCACTAGGGATGGTTTTAGTTCCTAGTGTAAATGAATAGTTTTTGCCCAAGGATGTAAATCGCGTTTCCATCATAATTGCACATCGTTGAACATTTCATTCATAATAGCACCTTGTTGAATGGTGCATTTTCTTACATTGTATATTTCCAAATCAAAAAAAAAATTAAGGGCCTGGGGTTGTGGCTCAGTGGTAGAGCGCTTTCCTAGCATGTGTAAGGCACTGGGTTCCATTCTCAGCACCACATATAAATAAGTAAATAAAATATATAATAAAAAAATATTTTTTAAAAATCTTAAAACATTACTTTTGGCTTTAAGGCCATCCACTGCCTTTTTAAAAAGATTAAAAAAACTTTTAAACACATTTTATAACTTTATTTTTTTCCTATTTTGAATTTGTTTATTCTAATATGTTCTACATGACAGCAGGATGCATTTCAATTCATAGTACACATATAGAGAACAATTTTTCATTTCTCTGATTGTTCACACAGTAGAGTCACACCATTTGTGTCTTCATACATATACCTAGGGTAATGCTGTCCATCTCATTCCACTATCTTTTATTTAATTTTTATGAGGTGCTGAGGATCGAACTCAGTGCCTCATCTGTGCTAGGCAAGTGCTCCACCACTGAGCTACAGCCCCAATCCCGATCCACTGCCTTTTAACTTTAGGTTTATTGACACACTGTTGCCTTCTGGACCATATGACAGAAAGAAGTGTTCTGAAGGAAGACTTGGTGAATGTAATAGAGTGGAGTGGATTGGTTTGTGGGAAACCCCTGGCTAAACTTTACAGAATGTCATTTCAAGGGAGGGGAAACAGGCCAGTGGTAACAATAAATTACAATTGTGTAAGGCTTAAGGCTTCTAGAGCAATGTCCCACTCAATCCTTCTCAGTTTCCTTCTTAGCTTGGTGTGGAGAATGGCATTAGCTCCGTGAACACACGGGTGGAAGTGGAGGGTCACACTGGGACACATTGTTTGTGGTGAAATCTTAATTTGGTCTCCTGACAGACAATTATGAGTTGCTGCAGCATTTGGCCATTTTTTTTTTTTCCTCTGTTACTTAATCTGGAGTCACTGAGCATTAGTGGCAACAAGTGACATTCAGTGACTGTTACTCAATTATTAAATGTCTGCTTTCTCCTTCTTCCTATTCATTTCTGGTCCTTTGGTCCTCTGGTCATTTTCTGCTGTATTTTTGCAGCATATAAGTAATTTTTATTATTAAGCAAAAATTTGACAAATTAGCTTTAGGGTGGCAATGAGTGGTATTACTGGTTTTGCACAAATGAAAAAAAAGTCCCAAGTATATAATTTACTTTTTTCTTTTATGGTGTGGAAAGTCTCTGAGCAGCCTTGACTTGGAGACCCTTGGATAAGACCAATTGTGAAAAAGAACATTAGATGTATCTTTCAAAGGGACTAGTTTTACCCAGGAAAGAAATCTTTCTCAGGAAAACTTGATTTTCCATACTAAAAAATTTTATATATTCTTCTGAACAAAGTTTTTGGTTCTTGAATATACTAAAATACACTTGAGAATTTAACAAGTCTTTTACAGTTTTGTACCCGAAGAAAGGAAGTTAACCATACAATAATCCATAAATTTTTAGTACCGGTAAAGACATATAAAAAGTAAAAAAAAAAAAAATTATATTCTCATAAAAATCTGGCAGATTGATGATCAATCCACATATTCCTCCCTACTAGAGAGAAAATGGTTCTTAAAGCTTTAGCAATTTACTAGTTTTCATCTACTTCAGCCACTTTAATACTTAAAATTTTTTTCTAACGTAATTTTACTCTTATGAATAGAATATACCTTTTTCCTGACTTGATCAGAAAAAAGTTATTATATATTATATATGTCACATATAACCAAATAATACCGTATGACATAGTTCTCCAATATTACATTATAAAACAATATATAAAATATTAAATATTATATATTTAAAAATAGTAATATGGTGCACTCTGGAATTAAAGGATTGCGTTGTCCAGTCCTGGGTAGCAGTATACCCTAGTTCTGATATGTGTTTTAATATGTGGATTAATGTACATTATCTGCAGATGAACGTTTGAATGTGTTGACTGTTATAGTCTCAATTAAATGAGTATCATTTGGCATTGGGATATTCTTAAGGGGGTTATTATCAGCATAGAGGCAGATTGCTGAACTTAAATTGAATTCTGATTCCTTTTGGATTGTTGGGGCAATGTGTCCTGGGAAGTATTTAGGGCAATCTAGTACTCTGATTATTGGAGTTCTTAGTGAAATGGCAATACTACAGGATAGAATATTCAGTTCTTTAGATTTAAAGATGCTTCTCACTTGGTTAACCAAGAATTAGGATTATTTTATCTGAGAGGTACCTATGTGCATTCAAATTCATGTGATGAACCTTCCAGAATAAAATCTATGTCAAGTGGACATACCATATAATGATCTAGATTTATATGTCTAATCCAGACCATTTCTGAGCTTCCAGAACTGTATTTCCAACTGTCTTTAGTCATCTTCTCTTAGGTATTTTGGAGGCATCTCAAACTCAGCAAATCCAAACCACATTCATGATTTTTTCTTCCCACCAGCTGTCCTCCAGTGTTCCCCAGCTCAGTGAATGACTCACCATCCACCTAATTGGCCAGCCAAAATTGGGGAATTATTCTGCACATTAGTATCCTCAACCTCTAAAATCCAATCAGTTCACAAATCCTACTGACCTTCTTTATTTAATACCCAAATATCCCACACAGAAAACTCATTTTTCTTTCTACCCACTGTTTATTGCCTATTGTTTAGGCAATAATCCTGCCAATAATATTATAATGGAAAGATTAGTACAATAAATATTCAAGTGCTCTTTAACTAGTTTCCTCATGTACTTTACAATGTTTACTTCCTCTCTTTGTGAGTGCGTATCTATGCACATATACATCCACATACATATCAGTGTACATATAGATAGATCAATGCTGCCCTGATTGAAATTAAGTTGAAGGAAATATTGTCATACTTCACTGTTAAATATTTCATCACATATCTCCTACAATCAAAGACATTCTCCTGAATAACACCACCATTAATTAATGTTGAAGAAATTCATTGCCTAATGTACACTCCAATTTCCTATTTTTGAAATGATTTCCAAGATTTTTTTTTAAATTTTATGTGCAATCAAGAATTTCATTTGGTTGTTATATCTATTTAGTCTCCTTTAATCCACAAAGTTCCCCCTTCCTCAGAAATTTTGGTTTTCTGGAAGTTGACAGTTTTGGAGTGACTAGACCATATGTTTGAAAAACCACCCACTGTCTAGATTTGTCTGCTTATGACGATAAAACTTTGGCAAGAATACCATATAGATGATGTATTATGTTTTCCATTGCATGGTATGATGACCTCTTGTTGGTTAAATCAAGTCTGATTACTGGTCAAGGTAGGAATTTTTTTCCCAACATATTAACATAAACAATTTCAAATGTGTAGAAGAGTTGAAAGAAATTTTTACTCAGCATCTATATATCCATGGTGTAGATTGTTTAATTAGCATTTTGCAGTATCCTGCCATAGTTTTTGCTGGTTCCCACATGTCACTGTGGTCCACTACAAGTCAGAATGTCTTTATAAAAGGACAATCTGGCCATGCTTAAAACCATCTACTGGACCTCTAGCTTCTGAAGACCAGGAGCCTTGACCAGAAACCCTGTCTCTGGTCTTGCCTAACCTTCCTCACCTTGTTGCTCAGATACATTGCTTCCTGGCTGACTTCTCTCCAAAAGCACTTCACATGCTCCATTGGTCTTTTCACTACTTCATATGGAAAGCTTTTACTTTTTCTATTTCCATTCCTGGCTAATTAATTTCTTCTTATCCTTAAAAACTGAGCTCAAGTATCATTTCTTCAAGAAAGCCTTCTCAATTGCCCAGGGCAGGTCCAATTCCTCTGCCATATGCTTCATTACTCAGTAATTCTCCTTTGTATGTTTGTAGACTATCAGTATTGTAAAGAAATAATTCATTGTATAATTAATTTCTTAGTAACTGTAAGTTCCATAATAATGGAAGCTGTGTTTTTTGTTGGTAATCAAATCCCCACTGTCTGGATCTGTGTATCTTACACATGGTAGGCCCTCAATACATTTTTGCTGAAGGAATAGTAACTATAAATAACTGTATGTACCTATGTGTTTATATGTGTGTGTGTGTGTGTGTGTGTGTGTATATATATATATATATATATATATATATATATATGTATGTAAGTGGATATTTTGGAGCTTGAAGGATCTTTTGAAAGATACCTTTCTATCCTTTAGTTTATATACTTTAAAGTATGCTTCTAGAGTGTTCTCATCCCCTAAACTTCTTTTTTAAAAATGTCTCAGTGGTATAAAGTACTATATAAATATAAGGGATTATTAATATCCTCTTAACAGGATACATATGTGTATGTGTATGTGTGTATATCTATATCTATCTATCTAGATAGATATACACACATACATACATACATATGTACACACACAAACAAATCAGTGCTTTTTCTTTCCTTTTTAGACATTGATGCCAGGCTGAACCACCATACAAAGTAGAAAGTCTTAAAAAGGACTTGGGAAAGTCTTTGGATTGTGCTGAAACTCAGCCAGGATGGCCAAGTATGGAGAGCACGAAGCCAGGTCCGATGATGGGCAGAATGAGTTCAGTGACATCATTAAGTCCAGATCTGGTAAGTCATGGAAGCCCAAGAAAATTCTGGATTTTTATGCAGAAACTATTTAGAAGACATAGGTTTCTTGGCTTGTTTTGCATTGCTCTTGTGAGGCAAACTTCTTTTCAGAAACTTAATTCTGACAAATGACCATTAATTTGTCAAAGGTAATATAATGTCTCTGCGTTAATTTCTTGATCCAATTTTGTCTCATTGTATGTTGACTGGTATTGCTTGGTGAAACTGGTACTTGTAGCTAAATGCTGTTTGGGAATAAAACTGCCATTAAAATACAGAAACATGCCTGAGCATTTTCTTCTGTATTTTTGAAATTTGAAGGGAATTATATGCTTAACATAGGAAGTACTATCATTTCTGGGAGGAAGGATCTCCTAAAGGATTGATTCCATTAACAGTATGCTCACCTCCCATCTCTCTGCGTGGCTAGTGCTTGGCCAACAGGCACCCTACCTTCGCTCTCCTTTTGAACCTTCTCAAGGTACAGTGTTCCCCTAAGTAACCAAATCAACTGGACTAAGACAGATGAACAGTTTTCATACAAACACTGGGGACCTCAGGATACCTCTCTTTCCCTTAGTCTTATGTAACTGAGTGCTTTTTGATGCCGGCTGTACTAATGAATCAACTGGGGAGATTTTACAAATGCAGATGTGTTGGCTCTACTCCAGACCTATTGAATAAAAATTACTGTAATTTTTAAAAAGCTTCAATATGATTCGGAGACTGGCTTAAAGGGGAGATATTTTTGAGTAGGCAGGGCCTTTTGGAGCTTTGCAAATTACACAGAACTTTATGCTGGGTGTGAACACTATACTTAAGTAACTTTGAGAGTCACTTTGAGGTACAAAATTACATCCATTGTGACTTAAAAAACAAAAAAGGAACTCAAAGACTGTTTTGGCTATGTGAGCCATCCATATATTATGGTAGGAGCTTATTTCTTATTTGAAACTGCAGGTATATGCGCTGAAAATAAGGCTTCATTCAATATTTTAGGATACACATTTCCCTCCACAATACTGGTGTTGGCTGGTTGGTAAAGATTTGGGATATTAGAGACTTTGCTGTAAATGTGTAAGTGGATCTTTTGAAGGACAGCTTCCTGTCCTTTAGTTAATACACTTTAAAGTGTGCTTCTAGAATGTTCTTATCCCCTAAACTACTTCTTCTTCTTTTTACAATGTCTTAGTGGTATAAAGTACTATATAAATATAAGGGATTGTTAATAACCTCTTTTTTTTTTTTAAAGAGAGAGTGAGAGAGAGGGGAGAGAGAGAGAGAGAGAGAGAGAGAGAGAATATTTAATATTTATTTTTTTTTAGTTCTCGGCGGACACAACATCTTTGTTGGTATGTGGTGGTGAGGATCGAACCCGGGCCGCACGCATGCCAGGCGAGCGCGCTACCGCTTGAGCCACATCCCCAGCCCTGTTAATAACCTCTTAACAGTGCAGACTATATTCAGAAATATGTAAAGGTGATAAAGAGGAAAATGAAGGGGAGACTATTTATTTAATGTCTCCATATTGTTCATGTTTTATGAATTGTGAGGTGTTATGATCCTAGATAGTTTCATGAGTCAACTTCCGTTACACTAAGACCTTTGATATTTATTACTGGTACTTTGTCCATGTCCATTAAAGAGTAATTATGTAAGTTTGAAAATACTGGGTATAGATGATGAGCACATAAACTTCCAACATATTCTTTAAAATTTAAAGTTGTTGTTTTTGAGGGCTAACTCTCATACATTGTTAGGGGACGTTTGGCAAAAATTATAACTTTTGTTTTTGGTGATGAGGATTGAACTTGTTTTTAACAAGGTTATATTAATCAGTGAAGTAACTCTATTTTGAGAGTTTTTCCCTAGGCAGTGCATATAAATGCACATTCAAGACATTGCTAACAGCATTATTTATAATAGAAAAAGTGGAAAACCATAAAAATCCCAATATTGGGGATTGGTTAGGTTATTATTGCTCAAAGTATTTTGAAAGGTTCTCAAGTTCTAAGGTTAATGTGTAATTCAAAAAGGATATCACAGTCAAATAACTTGGAAATAGTGGTAGGCTTATTCTGTTTCTTTTTAGGGGTTGAGTAGGGAGGAACCAGGGATTGAACTCAGGGGCACTCGACTACTGAGCCCTATTTTGTATCTTAGAGACAGGATCTCATTGAGTTGCTTAGCGCCTTGCTTTTGCTGAGGCTGGCTTTGAACTTGCAATCCTCCTGCATCAGCCTCCCCAGCCGCTGGGATTATAAGCATGTGCCACTGTGCCTTGCTCACTCTGTTTCTTTACTGTAGTGCATTGAACAGATTCTATAGAACCTCAATGGAGCTAATTAAATCAGTGTATACCCATAAAGAAGATTATGCATTCACAAAAATTGATAAGGATATATGTGTATGTATGTGTGTGAGTACATGTGTATAAACATAGTAATTTGTTCTCAATATATTGTTAAAATACGTAATATGTGAAATTATTCTTATGAAAAATATAACAAAATTAGTGAGGTGTAAACTAAAATGTTAAAACTGTTCATCTCTGCACTTTGGGATTATTATTTTTCTCTTTTTGTCTGTATGTATTTTCTAAAGCTCTTTGGCAACCTCTATTGCTTAATTATTGTATTTTAAAAGACTCTCAAATTGCCTGTAGTGTTTTAATGCCAAAGTTATTACTATTACACTTTTCTTAAAAAGTATCTATTTCAAAACACATTGAAAATTTAGCTGTTGCATGGCTGAGATATGAATCACATTCTTTTTGGCTGGATTATGTTGCAAAACCCAATAGATAAGTTTGGATTTGAATGAGGCTGTTAGTCTCAATCTTTCTTTCTGGGAAGGTAGTTTAAGAATTTTTTAAAAGGTAAATTCTTTGCATACAGTGGTAATATGGTTCTCCAAAATTTACATATTATTAAGAGATTTTAAAAAATTTAATGCCATAGGCATCATCTACACACAGTATATATTTTTTAAAACATTATTCTTGAACATGGTCTGTGCTGAATTTATTGCTTTTTTCTTTTTTTTTAGGAAAGAATTGGGCTGTAGATAGAGCTCAGTGACAGAGCATGTACTTGTCATGCACCAGGTGCTGGGGTCAATCTCCAGCAATGTAAAACAATAACAACAAACAAGTGGACAAACAAAAATGGAATATTTTCTTATTGGAGAATTTTGATTGTAATCAACTATTCTAGGTTTCTTCCTTTTGGGGTTTGAATGAGGGGGCAGGAGGAGAGATTGGGGTGGAAAAATGTAATGTTGAAAATATATTGACCAATTTAAATTTAGTTTTGGTTTATGAAGATTCTTCTGTTCTCCCCAGATCCCTGAGTTTGGACAGTCTAAAAGCCTGGCATAATAAAATATATATGCATTTTGTGTTAAGTTATTGGGATTATTTATTGCCCTCATTCTGTCTTAGTTCGCTTCATGCTGTGTAAGGTTTTTTATGTTTAAAAGCTATTTCCACCATCTAAACAGAAATACGAAGCTATCAGGGGTAGGTAATGGAATAGTTTCATGAATATAAAAGCCATATACTTCTTTATGGTTGTAGTACATTTACCCTGGATTTGAGTGAAGTAACTGGAAAGAATTTGATCTTTAATGATCAAGGATTGGAGATTGGGTAAAAGTAGGTCTTTCTTTTCTTTAAAGGCACATGGTCAAGTTTGTCATCAGTGACTGTGTTATTGACAGCCTTAGCAGGCTTCAGAAAGCTTAACAAGGTAGTAAAGATTTTGAGACAGGAGGCCAAGAATAATAATTTTTTAAGTGAAATACATTGCCAGTGGAGTATATGATGCATGAGCTTCTGCTTGGAACATTGTAAAATATGAAATAATACAAGGGTTGCGGATGCACATAAAATCAAAGAATGTCAGCCCTACTGTTTCATTCGGTCAGTAACTAACCTACCTGAAAGCTAATAATAGAGACTTGTCATCCTCTCCTGTTCTCGGTGTTGTTGTGGAGAGTTTGAGCCCAAAGGGTAGCTCTCAGGGCTAAGAAGAGTGTGTCAGCGAGCTCCAAGTGGAGATTTGGACAGTTAGGGGTTTAGGTGAGAGAGGGCCGTGTGTTGAATGAAGTGGTGGGGTGCACTCTACATTGTGGTACCATGCACCCTTTAAAAAGCCTTGGGCAGAAAGCTGGAGTGTCTCAGTTGTATCATTTCTTTCTTCACTTCCTGTGTTCTTGTCTAATCCTGGGTTAATTGTTGAGGGAATTTAGAAGCCATATAAATCATGCCTTTGACAGAGCACCTTGCTGCTAATGATGGGATGACACTGATGATGATGATCGTGAGATTCTAGCATCTTCTACTTGTTTTATTTTATTTGGTACTAAGGATTGAACCCACAGGCATTTTACAACTAAGCCACATCCCCAGGCCTTTTAAGAAAATATTTTATATAGAGACAGGATCTTGCTGAGTTGCTTAGGGCCTTGCTAAATTACTGAGGCTGGCTTTGAACTCTTGATCCTCCTGCTTCAGCCTCCCAAGCTGCTAGATTATAGGCGTGCACCATGGTGCCTGGCTTTTGTTTACTTGTTTTTAATTTATCATCTTACATTTACTGGACACATGCTAGGAGCAAATACTCTGCTCAGTGTTCAATCTTTACAACATTGTTTTAAAGATGACAAACACCAGCTATTCAGAAGTGCTTTGCTGCACTGGCCTTCTTTCATTTTCTTGTTAGTGCCTGCCCCGGGGGCCTTTACACGTACCACTTTCCTTCATCTTTGTCTGATGCCTTTGGATCTAGGCTTAAGTGTCATCTCCTGAGAGATCTTCCCAGCTAGCTTTGGAAAGCAGCTCTCCCAGTCACTCTTTTTTTTTTTAATTAATTTATTTGTTTTTTTTTAAAAATTATTTATTTAATTAGGTATATATGACAACAGAATGCATTTTGATTGGTTGTACACAATTGCAGTACAACTTTTCATTTCTCTGGTTGTACACGATGTAGCATCTC